CAAGGGAGACCCAGGCGGCAGGACCGCTGAGACATGCCACGGTCCCGGCGCCCGCGTCCTCCGCAGCGAGAAAAGCCCCGTTTGTATGTAGGGATCCGACTTACGTCGGATCTACGTAACTCGGGGACTGCCTGTAATAGCTCCTGAATTTTGTTCGTATATTTCTGAATTCCAAAAGGACAGTCTTGGGTCAAACACAATTTAATGTGGCTTTGAAAAGATGCAAGGTATTTTGCCCCAAAAGAAACCTTGATGATTAGAGGTGTATTTCCTATTTGATATTTTTTATAACCTCATGCTTTCTTGGTAAAATAATCACAATTTAGCCCACTGTCTAACAACAGATTGGGATGTTTTTTGGTTTGGTTTGTTTTTTTTAGTCCATGCTTTTACCTTAAGCATGTCATTGGACTGTGTGTCAGCTTTTGTGAAGAATTTGTCCCAGAATAGTTTGAGATCTGCTCAGGAACCAGGAGAAAAATACACAGTACAACTTAAAATAACAGTGTCAGCTTTCCTTTCACAAATTCAATTTTTATTTTACTCTTAAGCCACTGAGCAACAGAATTACTGGCTATCTTTACGGCAAGTGGATGGCTGTGGCATTGTAAATGGAACCCAAGAGTTCATGGATTCAGATATGTAACTTTTTGATGCTACTAATATAGTTATTGCAGCGTTAAGTCTGAAAGTAAACGGGGAAGCTCAAGCACCCGCTCCTTCTCCACTTGGGGGACCATATCCCTGCCTCTTAGCCTGCTCTGATGGCTTGTCTTGTGGAATGTGCTACTCCTAGAAAGCAGGTAAAACACCTCTTGTAAGAGACAGCTGATCTCAGAGGCACCATATTTGAAGGCACATGCTCCCTCTATCATCTGTTCAGACAACTGTGTCATTAGACAGTTGTTGGCATTTTTCATGCTCATTAGTAACCTGTTGAGAAGAAGAATTTGGTGAAATCCTGTCCCCGTCATTATCAGTGGGAAGCTTCACCATTTATTTCAATGGGGTTCAGAATCTTGCCTTCCATTTCTAGGTAGGAAAAGCTTCTATAATTTATCAAAAGATTTCAACGCACTCTTCAGAATTAGGTCTTGCCTCCCCTCTGTGATTGAGACCTATGTTACAGATGACAAAAAACCCAGTGTAATGAAATAATGAGACCCTGCAACAAGTGAGTGTCAGAGAAGAGACTAGAACTCGGGAGTCTGAACTCCCAGCCCTCTGTTTTAACAGACTGTGTTCTCTCTAATATCCAACACTAACTCTATTAGGGGAGTATTAAGAGCACACTGAGCCCTCTAACACAGCAAATCATTTTATTTCCTGTTCATATCATCCTGTTGTCCTTGGTTTTGGGCAGCGTGTCATGATGTACTGCAGTTGGTTTTTATGAGTCTAATGCTCAGACTTCTTATAGCAAAGTACAAAAAAGTACTGTGTTGCTGGCAGATTTAAAAGGCAAAATGTAGTGTGCTGTTTTGAGTCAGCTGTGTGAGTCAAGGAGACACTTGTAAATCATCTGTGATTTTTTTGTGTGTGACTTAGTCTCTTGAATTTCCATTTTCAAGTCAATTGAAGGGGATACTTAACCTTAGAGCTCTGAATTTAGCCATGTATGCTGTGGACAGGGGCTGTGCAGTCCTCCCAACACAGCTCGGCTAGTACAAGTTTAAAATATATAGTTTCTATAAAGTTCTCATTGTACCTCAAACTTGACCCCTAACAGGCTCTCTGCATTTTCCAATGCCATCTAATTGTGGTACTTTCAGGATGGGGTTGTTGTGGTATGGGGTGTGGTGTGGTTTTTTTTTTTTT